ATTTGTATTCTATCAAGTATTGTCATTTCAAACAAACAACACTAAGTCAGTACCTGAAGCAGATCAGAGTTGGACAGTCTTGTGATCCGCAATCTCAGGTAACCAGACCTGTCTACGCTACAGCTCTCAGTAGAGGATCACCTTCCACGTTCCTCCATCCTCCGCTTCACGTTTCAACCATATGCCCGTACCGGTACACGTGTACCGGCATGAATATCCTCCATTTGAGAGGGTCAGGCAGGCAGTCCACCTTTTCGAAATGTTTGATCCATCCGACCATTCAAGCTCCATCACCAAAACCACAGAAAGAATACGATCCTGTCATTGTGTTGCTGTTTTGTTGCACCTCCCCATGAAGAGAACGCTAGCCCTCGCATTGGCATATGCTATTCCTACTGCTATTAAAGCTATTGAAAATCCCAACGCAAGCTGTCATGTCCCCTCCATCATTCTTCCCTCCGACATTGAACCAACCTCGCATGGGCAGAAAGTAGTCATTGCACATCGCGGGGCAAGCGCTCACCTGCCCGAACATTCCTTGGAGGGATATCGATTGGCCTTGGAGATGGGTGCCGACTACGTGGAACCGGATCTTGTGGCGACCAAAGATGGCCAGTTGATTGCCATTCATTCCATGGATTTGAGCATCACTACGGATGTGGACGAAAAGTTTCCCGACCGGCAAACCTTTTCGAAATACATGAATCAAACAGGTTACTGGTCCTATGAATTTACGCTCGAAGAAATGCTGACACTGCGAATCAAACAAAGGTTGCCCGAGGCGAGAACTCAGCGCTTTGATGGCATGTTACAAATACCAACATTGACACAAATCCTTGAATTGGTACATGAATGGAATACTGTCATTGCTATCAAGCGAGTGAAAAGAACTCATGCTCAATCAGCAGTTCGAGGTGTCTATGCGGAATTGAAAGACTTTCCATGGCTATTGGACGACACAGGGCACGATTTGGTGGATTTGCTATTCCAACATATTGATGACAATGATGCATTGTGGCAAAAGTCTATAATTGACAATCATTGCTATACCAAGCGACTGACAGCTCACGAGTACCGGCTGCCACCATTGGTTATACAATCCTTTGAAGGCGATGCACTCAAGTACTTTGTGAATACATGGAATGAAAAGTTCAATAAAAACGAAACCATACCATTATTGCCACCACCACCTACCGTTCTGCTTGTCAACTCTGATGAGTGTCTGGCGGATAGCTTTTGGTTCCGAGTGGAGGAACGATACCGAAATATCTTGTCAGGAATTGGTCCAGACAAAAGCTGTCTCGGATACAGGTGGAGAGACTTTATGCAGAGGGCCACAAAGTCCAATCTGGCAGTGCATCCATGGACGGCAAGGCCGGAGCTTGAGTTCTTCTCCAAACCTTCCAATGGGGTACTCCCGTTCGACAATGTATTGGAGGAAATACAGTATCTCTTTTGTGAAGTAGCAGTACATGGCATATTCTCCGAGTCAGTGGACACAGCAGTATTGGCGTCAGCCCTTCCATGTCCTCCTCCAACAACAACAACAACAGGAAGCGGCAAAAGGAGCAAGGGTGGTGGTGTCTGTGAAAATGTCTGCTCTCAGAGCATGGCAAACTCACAGTTCTTTGTGGGCTTTTCTTCCTTTGCCATGGGAATCATCATTACCATTTTGATTTTGTACCTGGTCCAAGGAATAAAGTTGCACAGCGGAGGGCGGGAGCGAGTTCCGACCGAAGAGGTGAATGACAATATACTCGACAACAAGGCACACGTCGATGACGATTCGGCATTTTCCGACAAAGAAATGGAAATGCTCTGAGCTCGGAACTATGCCCAACATAAAATATAATAGAATCTCCAATTTGATATGTTTACTTCAATACAATTTTCCCCAACACAATTTCCATTTTAGTTTACTTTATGGGCAAAGGACGGAACCAGGTACAATGGTATTCTGTTACAGTGGCAATCGGCATTCCCAAGACTACCGGTGCGTTTCGCTCCCATAGATCGTGAAGGAATTTGTACAAGCAAGGTGATTGAAACCATGGAACATCCTGTACCAGGATAACTTGAATGAATGAAGAAAGTTGTAAGATGGGATCCTAGTTGAATGTCAACGAATGTTGCTTTCACTAACTAAAATTTATACTTATGCATGCACGTAACCTCATCCGATCCACGAAATACTGTATTGGAACGAAAATCTATTCGTTGCCTTCTGCAGTTGACGCATTTGTTGCCAAGTTGATCAGTGGATGCCCTTCTTCCAACGAGATTTTGAGGATTTCAAGAGCTCTTTCGAATTTCTTTTTCGCAAGGTGCTTTTTGGAATCCATTTGAGCCCGAACATTTCCAAGATTAAGCTGGGTGAACGCTTCCCACGGGTGGTTCCCCATAAGAGTATAGTCCTCCAAATCTGGTTTCAATGCTCGCTGAAAATTCAAATATTGGTATTCATTGTGCCGTCCTCGAATTGCTTCCTTGTTACTACTCGCGCTTTCCAAATAATATTGTCCCGTCACGTTTCAGGGCATCTTTAAGTTTTTCCTTCCAATAATCCTCTTTCTTGAAGAGGTCCTCCTCGCCCTCCCAAGAACAACATTGCATCAATGGAAGAGAAGGCGCCTCCCGAACTTGCGATTGAGAAGAAATTAAAACAGCCCAAATAGTTTTAGAAGCGATATTGATATTATCGAACCCCTTTTTTGCGTGCATTGTGCATTGCATTTCTATTTTTTTGCTGGAGAATTACAGAATTCAAAAATTGGCGTTCAAGGTCACCAAATTTTGCCTACCGGTACGCACCATGCTGTCAAGTTCAGTTGATAGTGTTGAAAACGCCTCTACCGGTACGAAAACGTTGCTAATGATTAGAAGCAGGAGGAATATAATTACGCATGATTGGTCAACTCATATCTTATACGACGTCACATGCCTTCGCAATGGTAAATCCATAAGTAAAATGACGTGAGTTTGGATAGCCGAGCTGGTAGGTAAACGGTTTGTCATATTCCAATACATCAAGAATCACTTCAGCAGAACATTTTTCTGCACCCTTACCCCTTTTTACCATGTCAGATTCCATCCAGGGTCTTAGCTCTGATGAGTTTCGATCTCTTGCTATAGTGTGGCAGACAATCCGTACACGAAAGGATTGTGTCATGGCTCTAATTGCATTTGCTACTTTGAACGCGGCGTGTTGGATATCCATGGAACACTTTGTTTTTCCAACAAAAATGAATACTAATGGACGTAATTATATTGGGAACCAGTCTGATAAAGCAAGCAAATCAAAAGAATACAGTCGTTCCTACAAGCGTCTGCGAAGTTTTCCTGGTATGACAAGGCCAATGAAGGAGACGCCCATGTCCTACCGAAGCAAGTGGGAGGACCTCTGGACCTCCCAGCATATTCCGACTGATGATCACTCGATGAAAAGCGAGAAAGTTGCAGGGAATGAGATTGAGAGCCGACTACGCACTTTAACCAATGCTCTGAGCTCTAATGCTTCGACAGGAGTCGACAATCTGAATCTCATGTTTGAAGAATTTCCGTATCCGCGACACCAAAACTCGATATCAATTTATAATGAAGAGACCCATTCTAGATTGATTGCCAAATTAATTCAAGCACGGG